AGAGAAGGACACTTCTGAATGGAGCTAATTATTCCGTCACACGTACACGGACTGACATACTGTTATTCCGTTTTGTCTCGCTGAACTTAAAAAACTATTGGCTTAAGTTTATGAGCTACGTTCCGCTCAGACACACCACGTCTGGTGTCAAATCAGTCAATTATTTCGGCCTTCATACGTTGAGAACCAGGGCTCATGAAGTTGCTAACCCTGAACCGTCAAAACACGCCATTGGATTAATGACGGCAACAGAAAAGAGTGTTGTATTTACTTATGACCGCACAATCGATCCCGAAAGTGAGTCTGTATTTATCGTAAGACAATTTTCAGACTGGGAAGTTCAGTCTCGCTACAGCGTGTCTGTCGTCGCCTGTGGTCTGACCTTGTGGGAGCAGACCAAGACATGAATACAGAAGTCCCAATCGAAGACCCTCTCGAGCCAGTTCAATCCAGTTCCCACAAGCCAATTAGCTTGAAACCTGCTCTAATTCCGTCCCTGATTCATCTCCGTGGTCGAATCCCCAGCTTTGACAGCGATCTCCCCATTAAAAATTTAGCTTTGTTTTGTTTCTTCCTTGTTGCACATGTCCATACTACACGTTAGCCTCAGTGAACTACCGATTACAATCTTACATCGAAGAAGTTCCGTCCGCTATTTTTAAGTACGAGTCAGACAAGAGCGCCTTGTTGGCCTTGTCTGTTTAAAGTCGCTATAAAATAATTAAACTGCATAATTGTTACGTCGGTCCTGCCATATGAAATCCGAGACGAAGATAAATGCTGCAGTACAGTTCTGAACCACCACCAACATGGCGGACGAAGGCTGGGACCCGGAATCACCACTTGCAAGTACAGCGAGAACACAGCGACATTTGTCACCAATTAAAACCGAGTTTAAAATTATATCAGGCCACTTTTTACCGCTGAATCATCTGCAGATGCGCGTTTCGACATTTCGTAATAAAACAAGTTTTTAAGGTCAGGGGTTGTTAGCCACACGCCCAAACTGGAGACTACCCCTTGTCGGCTGTCCGCGACTGCTTATTCAACATATTCGCAGTTACCCTCCATCTCTGGAGGACGCGCCGTGCCGTGGTGAGAGGAAACCCAGCCAACATGGGCTATTTATTCTTTAGCAAGACGAGTAAACTTTTGAACGAAAATCCTGCACCAAAGAGTGACTGAGATATTTTACGTCAAATGGTGATTATAAATGCAGAACGGAAGTTTTACGTTTACTAGATAAGACCGAATAAAACCACGAGAGACCTAAGACACGCCTAGTCTTGTTATAAATGAGACAACTAACTACAGAGAGCGGAAGGTTCCTTTGAGAACCTACCAGTCGCTCAGCTAGGCAAAGGATTAGACGAAATTTACATAGACCCCGAAGCAGACCGCCTTAGATTAATCCAGTGTAGAACCAAGAGCCTTATTTGTAGAGAATCCATTTCACATTAACTTCATGTCGGTGTCTAGGTCTACCAAATGGCCTCTTGCCTTCAGCTGTCAAGACAAAAGCTCTTGAGCGTTTTCTCCTCCTTCCTCAGCGCCTGTCTAATCCCCTTTATTTCATAATCTTAATAAAATACAGTGGTGAAGAAGAAGAAGAAGAAGAAGGAGGAGGAGGCCCTGTTCTCAGAAGCCCCCACAACAGCCGTCCTCGTTAATGTAATCCTAGCAAAATTGTCGTTTCTAACCTAACGTTTAAACGATATTGCATCAGAATGTCGCGAGAGGGTGTAGCAGCCAGACACCCTGACTGACAGCCATGCCATTTCATGTATCACACACCACTTCCTGCAATGTTGCAGGCTAGACAACATGAGTGCCAACAATCTCGAGGTTCGCTGGAAGCACCACCAGGAGGGAGTGATGGACTATTTGAGGCAACTGCTGGTTTCTGAAGTCTTTGTCGATGTCACTCTGTGTTGCCAGAACAAGAGATTCAAGGCCCACAGGATTCTACTGTCCTCTTGCAGCTCCTACTTGCAGGTAAGACCTGTTTCTAATAGCAGTCTGTGACCTTAAAACGACCAGTAATATGAAATTAAGCTGCCCTTACTGGTCCCGGAATTCATCCATGTGTTACCCCCAAACTTTGGTATCTACCTGCAAAACCGCACGGCGTCTCAAGCCAGAAGATACAGGGTGATCATGAAAGAACCTTACACTTTCAAAATGACACAGCAAACAAATTCGTCTTGCTCAGAACTTCACTCCTACGCCAGTCAATAGAAAAACTCTCGAAGTTTCGTACACACCTCACAGAGACTCGATATGCAGACGTCGAGACAATACAACTCGTCCCCAAATTTGTGCAGACTGTCCCTAGTAATGGATGCTGTGGCAGTTGATTGGAATTTCTTGTAGCAGACGTAAATGGATGGGTGGTTTGGTGTTAAATCCTCGTTGCACTGTCGTTACAGACCATTTCTTCACTTGAAACTGACCCTCGAGAGTTTCTCCATCGACTGGTGTGGGTGTGAAGTTCTAAGCACGGAGCGTTTGCCTTCTGTACCATTTTGAAAGTTCAAGGTCATCTTGTGCTCACCCTGTATTTACCCAGGCGCCATTTTAGACACTTGATTTTCATGCTCCACACCCTGTGGGTAAAATGCGAAGTGACAACGTCAAAGTCTCGGTGTTTCATTTGGAGTTTCGCGGGTTCATGTACTTCGTGTGGAGCATCAAACATCGTCGGGTTCTAACAGACACTTCATGAGCTCAAACACGGCACACAGCTCCCAGAAACGCCCACAATTCATTAAATTTCGCGAAAATACTTTATTTATGACGAATGTAGTCAACTGCATGAAACACATTTTTAATGCATCCGACGTTTCGGGAGTTTGTTCTATTCCCATTTGGAGGCGATTGGTTGTCATTACACTGACAAATATTTCGATACTGATGGCAGATATGGGACGTCAGCTGGTAGTAAAAATAACAATTTCGAATTAAAAGGCTTCTAGATTTTATTCTGTCCACTAATAGTAAAAACGTACGTAAAATAAAGCCAAAAACAAACATATCCACAAGAAAAAGGCAGTAAAGACAGGTACTGGAACGTTAATGCAGATCAGAGCTTTTATGTCCAATAAAAATGAATGTTTTTGTAACATAGACGCCGGTGTGACTGATTAAACCGACGCCCCGGTTCAAAACTTTTGCTTCCCACGAGCACTGAGTCAGCACGACGAACAAAAACAATCAGCACCCCAAAAAATCAACGCCACTGCATCGTACAGGTACAAGATTCTTTCTTATAACGGTAAAGCCAGTTGACTTCCCTAGGCCATCCAGTTGTAGGGCCAAGCCAGGGTGGTCCCACGTCCGGCTCGGCGAAAAACCTTGACTTCAACCAGACTCGCCTTTATCGTACATCTGCACTCACAGAATTCGATCGTTCAATGCCAAAAAGTCGCCTCTGACATTTTCGTTCTGGCGTCTCCTTACAGATGCCTATTTGCACACTTCAAGTTCGCACATTTTACTTCAGGGCACAGCGGCTTAAAACCCAAGATTTATAATGGAATTACATCAAAGTGTTAAGCCCAAATATACCTTTATTTGTGGTACAGACTGAGTATCTATATTTTACATAGACGAGACAGGACTTCAGATTATACAGTTACTTCCACACTGACTGTCATTCCAAAATATTATAATTCTGCCACATTTTCGAATGCTTTGCTATTTCATTGTATTTAAGTTCTCATCCGACAAATACAGATCATGAGGAACCACCGAGAGTCGAGGCTAATTGCAACACACACGTTTTATCCCCCGATAACACGTGTCAATCTATTCTGACGTCAAACCACGGAGACGCTGGGCACGCCACCCGACCAGAATCATCTTTAAAAGGCTTTGACCGGGATGTTAAATCATATGTGGTACCGCCTGATTCGACTTCTAATGTTTAAGTGAAGTGTTTTCTTCGCGGTACGGTCTGGATTCGTAAATATTATGAAGACGAGCTTCGGTTTCAAAGGATTAACCAGCTGATTTTCGTAATGGTGAGGTGAAGTGTTTTCTTCGCGGTACGGTCTGGATTCGTAAATATTATGAAGACGAGCTTCGGTTTCAAAGGGTTAAATTGCATTGGTGCTGAAATGAAACGCTATTTATCACACTTTGATAGTTGCCAAACGCCATTGTGGCATAAGAACGACCTTCATTTGCTCACTGCGGGGTATCATTACGAGTTAGGCTCACGACAGGCTACTGATTAACGTCAGTTCGATTCAGAACGAAGCAAACAGCATAACGAAAGGAGGAAAAGATGAATAAATTAATTCATGCGGTCCATATGAGGAAATAATAAAATAATAAGCAGTCTTTCTGACCTGATAGGCCACGTTGCTGAATTAGTTCCAAGGATAACAACTAAGACCCTCATCAGCTTATAAAACTCGCTAATTCTTGTTTTGTTAATATTAATAGCAAGACTATTATGGACTATTTCTCTCTTGTATGAAATTCCAGAATTAGATACAAAAAATCCACGCTTTCTTCTGTGATTAAACTGACGCCAAGTATCGACCAAGGTTAAGGCTACACGTGCTGAGTACAAGGAAAAGTTTGCACAATCATAATTACTTTCTACAACAACTACGGATTCCTTTTAAGTATGATTCTATTACCCAACTATTAGGCGTATTACATCATACAGTAACGAGCCAGTACAGACAAAACTCTGCTTGTAAAATGACGCACACAAACGTGAGGAAATACGTCATTTGGAAAATCTGCGAGTACGTCGAAGGATAATATTAAAATGTACTTTGAAGTAAGGTGAACTGAATTCATGTACCTGAGAACAGGAACCAGCAGCCCCATAAAATTCTCGACTAAGTGAGCTACTATCAGGTTTTAAAGGTACATTCTCGTCTACGCATACTCGGTTTGGTAGGTTATTACATACAGGCCCATAACTTCCCATTCGTAGTTATCGACGTCCTGAGATCTTCGGGGAGATTCTTGCGAATTACCGAAGCAGAAAGTGCCCGCAGAATTTGAAAGAACCTGTTCTTGGTACAATCAAACTCTGCCACGAGCCATTTTGTTCCCAACTAATTTCACGTTTAACCTATTCATTTACGACGAAATTTCGTCTCGGGGAATTATGCAACACATCACGGCGGATGTAACGACCCAGAAGACATCCATCTATTCATACTCGTCGCCATGAGAACCTACCGTAGCACCCAAAACCAAACATCGTAAAGAAATCAAGTAACCGGTGTATTAATAATAAATGGTACCAGGGAGTGAAAAGCAATAAAAATAGTTAATTTTGTGTTATTAATATGTATTGTACATCAATAGGCTATTAGCTGTAATTTGAACGTCAGACACTGCTTTGATTACAGTGATCATGAGAATGTTACGTATTTACGATCCACATAACACAGCCAGCGAGGCTGATTACGGAACACCGCGAGAAGCCTCCGGCCTCTCTGGCATGCATCTTTCCTGTAAACCGCACCATTTTACAACCATGACTTCCTAGACGAACGGAACGTTAATTGGATAATTGCTCTTGGGATGTGACAGGGCATAAGAAGACGTGACAGACTTGTCCCTTGACACATTCCATGTGAATGTCATCCAGTTATACAGGGTGATATGAATTTCACGCAACAGAACTTATGTCGTCCAACTATACAGAGTGAATTGAATAAAAATTTACTTGGATATTATCCATCGTCTAGTAATAAAACGTAAAACAACGGAGATAGGGATTAGCTCTATCTAGTGGGCCCAACTGAGTAGGAACCTGAAGACGGAGATAGAGCCCCATCTCCGAAACGTCGTTTTACGTTTTTTACGTTTTATTACTAGACGATGGATAATATCCAAGTAAATTTTTATTTTTATTCTGGGACTTTCACTTTTTTAATTTGTCCGGAGATAGGGATTAGCTCTATCTAGTGGGCCCAACTGAGTAGGAACCTGAAGACGGAGATAGAGCCCCATCTCCGAAACGTCGTTTTACGTTTTTTACGTTTTATTACTAGACGATGTATAATATCCAAGCAAATTTTTATTCAATTGACTCTTCACCATCGTCAAGAAGTTTTAGATTTGATATACAGGGTGTTCTGAATGCCACGCAATCACTAGCCTATCTGGAGCTCGTTCCGTGTCTTTATGCAAATTCCCTACAAGTTTCATTGCGCTAAGCAAACCTTCTGTCCTGAAGAACCACAATTTTTAAGCGACTACGCCGTTCCTTGAACCAAGGTCCGTCGTTTGAAATTGTCCTGGAGCCCGAACACGTGACGACGCCTTGTGGTCGGGTCCGGAAGATCGCCGGATTCAAAACGCCACACAGCGTCTGATTGCTCTCCGTTGTAATGCGTATAAAACAAAATGCTGAGCAAAAATGTGACCTACGACGCATGAGCGAAACACCAAAGCGGAACATTGGTTTATCGCCTTCCTCAAAGAGATAAATCTTGAACACTCGGATGGCGGAAAAATTAAAGGTTAAAGGAGGAGCCTATTCAAAAGTCAAGATGATGTCAGGTTTTCATAAATACCGATGTTGTTATTCTGGACAATGACGCCATCAACGTTTAGAAAGAAAAAAATACATACTATCTTCAGCCCTGAAGATGGAGGCAGTATGTTTCTCCGAAGCTTCGGTCTCTGCCTGCGAGTCCACACGGCGCCACAGCTTAGAAAATCGTCTCTTCGCCGCCCCCAAATCCGAAAACTCCAGGTTTTACTGATGTTCCGATGAGACTACAGCCGAAATTTATTTTAGTTTGTTTAACGACGCTGTTTCAGTGGCTCAGACTTTACAGCGTCGAATGAGAGGATGCGAAAGGAAGCGGTTGTGGCCTTGAGAGACTGAAGAAAACCACGAAAAATCCCAGTCAGGATATCCGGTCTCCGGGCCGAGATCTGTTTTATTATTATTATTATTAAGACATTATTTCTAAAAGTGTCCTTCCAAGCGCGGCAGAAAACGTGATTTGATT